AACATGTTTAGAGTGCATCCAAACATAGTTAGAGTGCATCCAAAAACGTTTAGAGTGCGTCCAAACACGTTTAGAGTGCATCGAAACATTTTTAGAATTCGTCTAAACATGTTTTGAGTGCACCAAAAAACGTTTAGAGTGCGTTTAAACACATTTAGAGTGCATCCAAACATGTACACCTTGCCATACGTATTGGCGATGGTATTCCAAGCATCAAGGGTGGTCTTGGATCGGGCGGCCAACGACTGGAGAGAAGCCGAGAGTGTGCCGAGGAGGAAAGAGAATAGGAGGCGATCTTGTTGTCTCCATAAGCCGAAGTCGGGATTATCCCGAGTAACATCATCGACCATGAGAGTAGTCGAGGGCACGACAGCGGAATCATCGATGTAAGAGGCCAGATTATAGCCTTCAAGGAGGGCACGAACTTGAAGGCTCCACGTGAGAAAGTTCGTCGGTGTGAGCCTAGTGATGGAAGACATGTTGACATGGAGAAGAGTTTTGGCCGGTGATTTTGTTTCAATCACGATACTCTCGTCGGTGTGGACTGCGGTGGTTGCAGCAACTGTTGGAGTTGAGGCGGCAGACATGAAGCCGGGGAGGAGTAGCGGTAGCCAGAAGAGATGATGGTGGTAGAATAAGTGGACAACAGAAGAGATCAAGAGCTAGGGTTAATGGTGGCTCTGATATCATATAATGAAGTGATTTTCTCTTAATGAAACACGTTACAATAGGTAGAGTATTTATACAAATGATAACCCTAATTACATGTATTGAAAATACAATAATAACCCTTTATATGTTTTGTCACTGTAGTGTTCAGGCCGGTTAATCGCGTGCAAGATTGAAGAACGTCTTCGACAGCCCTGGTGTTGCGACTGCCGAACACGAACCAGAACAGATCGAACAGAGAAAAGAGGAAGAGATTGACACACCGTTTAACGAGTTCGGTTACCGAGTTTTTACCTCGAGCCTAGGTCTCGGATAAGGGAAGAATTTATTGCTAAGAGTGCGAAAGAATCGAGCCAAAAGAAACCGAAGCAAACCTGCTTCAAGAACTGCAACCAAGAATGAAAACCCCGCGAAAAAAATGAAGAAGTGACGAGCCCTAATCTAATGATCGAGCTTATATGAGAAGCCCCAATTTGATCTCCTGCAGAAAGACCAAATTACCCTTTAGTAATTCATCTTCAGCTTAGCATGACGTCATTCCCTTCCTTTGAAACCTTATGGCACCTTTATAAGGTTTGCTCCTCTTCGAACTTCCTTGGATCAGCTACCGCTCGATTCCCCTGCTCGTATAATGATACCTGAAAATCATCAATCACGTTTCAATATTTGATATATTTATCCGTCAAATTAAAAATTAGTGTATTTTTACACATTTTGCAAAAAGCATGTATATCTATCGATTTTTTCCAATTTTAGAATATTTTTTATTGGTGGTAAAATATCGCGTCTAAAACTTTTCGTTAAAGTAGATAAAATCTATTAATATTTTCGTTAAAGCAAATAAAATTATGCATACTTTGATAACTTTGTCGGATATCGCTAGATATCTAAATTTCAAAATAAAAATTCAAACGCATGTCTATAGATATTTTAAAATTATAATTCAAATCTAAACTATTTAAATACTTTAGTTTTTTAGGTGATTTCAAATAAAATTTCGAGTTAGGATTCATATGTTGGAAATTTTGTACCATCGCTAGCGGTTGACAAATGGCAATATGCATCGTTAGTTCGTTACAATAACGATGAGGTTAAATGATCCAAAAAGCTTATGGAGTTGCATAAACGGGTTAATGTCATGGAATTAATGATGGGTCCAAATCATTGAATTTTAAACAATATTTCAAAAAAAAAGCAAATTGATTACACAATAATTTCAAATATAAAACTAAATGGATATAATATTTTATAAAAAAAATTGAACCTAAATTCAAAATTAAACTAGGGATGAAATATATTCTAATAGTTATTACTATTCGTATAAATATCTTTAAAATATATTTTAACACCTAGATTTATGCAATATAGTTTCTGGATGTTTTGACAAATATTTATATTTTTATCATTTCTAACCCCTGTTTCGAACCATTCTATCAATTATCATATTTATGGGCGGACCCACTTGGTCACATGCCCATATGTGTAATTAAAGAGAATTAATTTCTTTATAAAGTATAAAATTTAATTAAATTATTAAATATCCCCATAACAAATGTCCGATAATCAAAATTATTGTCCACATTTATTACCCATCCGTTGCATAATAACTGATGTTTTAATTTTTTTTTTACAATTTTTAAGAAACTGTAAAAAAGTCATATCTACCCTTATTTAAAATTGAAATATAATTAATATTCATTAAGTTTATTAGAATTAATTAGTTTTAATTAAGGATAAAATGGAAATTATTATAAAAAAAATTACGACAATTATTTTGAACAAAAATTTTGTTTATAACGTCAACTATTGAGATTTGGGCCCGCTGATATTCAGTGAATTAATAATAGGGTTTCTATTATCCCCAAGAGATGTTCCATCATTAACAAAAGGTTTATTTCAAAAGTGGTCATTATAAAACATTTATCTTCTTTTAATCTTTAACATTTTTATTTCAACAAAAAAAAACCATGCCTTTAAGGCACATAATCATCACTCATTTTTTTCATTGCAATAAACTAAACATCTCTTAGTTATGATAATATTTAAAATGCTAAAGGTTGTTCTTAATTAGCGGATAGAAACCAAGCAAAAGACCGTGCAATTATTCAACCGACCAATAAAGTTCTTACGAAAAACTCGACATTTATTTCAGACATCAAACTTGTAATCATAAGATAAAAAGACTCTGCAGATTCTTTTGATGGATCTTTTGTCTTCAGACAATTAGAGATAACTTCTCGTCCGGAGATTCTTTAGGCAAACCTCCGAGACGCATGGAAGTTACGTAGTCGCAAGGGAAATGGTCGGATGCACCCGGAAGCAGCAAACCCATAACCCTAATAAGCCTCATCAACCAATTCTCTTTGAAGTCTTTTCCCTTCCAAAACGGTATTATGAAGCTCCTTATAAGCTCCCAAACCGCGGTTAATAACTTTGGTATGAACCACAATATAGAAAAGTAGTTTTTGTTCGGTTGATCCTCACACACCTACAAAAAAACGTATCATAGGTTCAATACAACGTAATCGTTCGTGAAATACCAAAACTTGCGTAAAATTGACCGAATAATGAATTTTGAGTGAAAAATATCGACAAGTATGCGAAATTTTAGGGCTTGAAACTTTATACTTTACTACAAGACACACTGATTGTTACCTACTATATCAAATTTTATGGTATGGCATACTCATCACTATATGACTTAAAACATATTATAGATTCGAGTCCTATATATTAGCCTCCTCATATGTTAATCTGTCATTTATAGATAACCCAGATCGGATTTATATCTTTCGCGTAGTTTGCATGATATTATATGGGAGCGAGATTTATCCCTGCACGACCGAAAGATAATGGCTGCGGGTTCCCATGTCATAATAAAAAACTTAAAACTTTTTACCATAGATGATATTGATTGGTACTTACCCTCCCTTTGTAGAGAGTATTGAAGTAAATGCAAGGCCCATAGTGCTTGAACCCGAACAACATAGTGTCGTCAAAGGGAATTCTTGGCACCAAGTCATTGCAATACACGAATCTCTTGTACTTGATACCATGCTTGTTCATAACACCCTTCATGAATTCCCCGAATTGTTCGTCTCCAACCCTCGGCTGTCCGAACGTGTAAACTCCCTCACACCGATCCAACAGCTCGTCCTCGCCATGGATTGCCAAAACCGTGGGAAACAAAGCGGCCAACGCAGCACCGAGGCTATGCCC